TCTCTCTCTCTCTCTCTCTCTCTCTCTCTCTCTTTTATTTATTTATTTTTTTGCCACAGAGCCTCATCAGACAGAATTGGTTTCCAACTTAAGGTTAGAGGAGTTTCACCTTCTGAGAGAGGAAGTAAACTGGTAAACCTGTGGTTGCACTGCTAGTAAATAAACAATAGGGGGTTGGTTCTTTTTTTTTTTTTTTTTTTTTTTTACAAGCATGTGGAGTAACTATATCTGATAGCCAAACAGAAGGGAACGTTTGGTGTATATTTGTTTTTTTTTACCCAATCATTTCTTGGTAAAGACCATAAACCAGTTGATATACAACATTATATTAGTTTTAAAATGTATTTAGGAACCTAATTTGTAGGTGGGTACATGTGTTTACAATACACCTCTGAAAATTGCACACCGTGCCTCTCTGCCTGCCCTCATTGCAGACATGCTGAACTATTTACTCACTGTGAGAATGCTGCAGTTGTATCATTTGTACTTTGGTCTGAGTTTTGCCCTCTGGTTTGTGTCAAAGTCACTTCTCGTTGATGGGAGCATAACAGTTCTGCTATATGGCAGCAAAGAGGAGATCAGAAACTGAATAAGATTGTTCTAATCTGACATGAAAATAACTTTATATTTAAAAAAATACATTATCATAAGCCTTTTTTTAACTGTGTGACAGCAAATCTTTTATGTAGCAAAGTGCAAGATCACACTTTTTCTGACCGATTATTATTGTTTTTAAATCTGGTTTATTTTTTAGTAGTTGGCTCTTAGAATCTGCTTCATACACGTGACTTTCTTTCTTTCACAGAATCAGTGCTTGATGTTTTTATAGAGACACACAGAAGGGGGCTTCTTTGAGTACAGACTGTATCTTTGCTCAGCTGAGGTCTATCTTTACTGAACTCTCCCAATATTTTTGAGTAAAAAAAATCTCTTATAAAGAGTTAAATTTTATTTGATTTCAGGTTTTTGAGTCTTAAAATCTACTAAAGGCTTCAGGTTGATTCTGACAGACTGAATATTAGTTATCATGCAGATCTAGACATTTTTTATTTAAAAATATTCATAAAACAAGTAAGTAAGTACAATTTTATTTATAAAGAGCCTTTTGTGGAAACAAATTCACAAGGTGCTGTACAATCATCAACAGCATAAAACAATATCAGAAAATCACAACAAAACATTAGTAGAACAAGACAGAAATTTTCATCCCAAAAGTGGTCAGTAACAGCAAGAAACCCACAAGCAAWCAAAGTTCAAATATAAAAATACTAAAACAAAACTGGAACTGGGCTCACTTTAACTAACAAGGCCTAATTTTGTTGAACACTTATTTAAAGTGCCTGTGACATCAAATTTTTGTAATAAACATGAKTGCATTTTTAGAAAGATAACATTGAAAACATATTGAAAAACYGGTTTCACGTCGCTGAGATGAATGGATGTTGAGATAATTCCACGAGAAGTAACAGGAAGTGATGTCAAAGGGGAATGTCAGCATGTAAACAGAGTGTTGTTACAAAAGCACAACAAAACAGACTGTAGAGAAGAATCTCATGTTTCTTCAGATTGTTTTTGTTGCTATCAAAGATAGACAGAGAAGATTTAAAGTTTAAATAATTTAGTTTTAACAAACTGACCASCAAGTTTATTTTATTAGYGTTCCCCTTTGATGGCACTTCCTGTTTCACATTGACTGAACCAAATTCAAAAGAAAATAGGCCAGTTATGAGACAAAATGGGTAAAATCATGTGTACCATGCCAATTTTCTTAAGTATAAAGATGCTTTCTTTGACTTTTTGTATTCGAAGGAAATACATGTCACAGGCACTTTAAAGAAGAGGGTTTTCAGACCCTTCTTGAAAGACTTAATATCAGTGAGAGAACGCAGAGGAGAGGGGAGAGCATTCCAAAGGCTCTGAGCCATAAAAGAAAAAGCCTGGTCACCACGGGTCTTGAAACAAGGAACAACTAAGAAATTCTGATCTCGAGAACACAGGCAACAAACAGGATTGTAAAAAGAGAGCATGTCCCAAATATAGAKAGGTGCCTGACCTTTTAGAGCTCTAAAAGTAAGAACCGATATTTTAAACRGAATCCTAAWATGYACAGGTAACCAMTGAAGTCCAGATAAGATCGGGGCAATGTGAGTGAATTTAGATGTCTGAGTTAAAAGCCTGGCTGCAGAGTTCTGGACAAGTTGAAGACAACTCAGCTGCTTTTGATTCAGACACATGAACAAACTATTACAATAATCCTGATGGCTCGAAACGAARGCGTGAATAACCCTTTCCAAGTCAGAGGCAGACAGTAGYGAKCGGAYTTTAGAAATACTGTATTATGTAGTTGAAAGAAGCATYTAGSAACCAAATTATTTGTACGTGTTTTTCCAGCGACAAGTCTGAATCAAAAGTAGCTCCCAGGTTTCGGAGATTCTGACAAACAGCTGGACTCAAAGAGCCCAGTTGTTGTTTTCTCAATTGAATCTTATTTCCAGGGGCTAGAAGCAGAGCCTCTGTCTTGTCCAAGTTAAGCAGCAACAGGTTATCTGACAGCCACCTGTTTACCATCCCAGCACAATCCATAAGTGAAGCAAGCTTGTGAAAAGATTAATCATTAAAAGAGCAGTATAACTGCAAATCATCAGCGTAAAAGTTTAATGTGGATGCTTTAATATAATGATTAAAACAAAGTGTTATGTTTTTTTAATTGTTTTGCTTATGTTTAGAGTTGTGTTATACGACTCAAGAAAATGAGTCAGATTGCACATAGTTATATATCAACTCTCAACACATGATCTCCAACGACACATTATATTAGCAGAGAGTGTAACTGACCTTGACGTTGACCTCCCTGATGAGTTTTAAACCAGATTAGTACAGATCAGTGCATCTTGATAAACTGTTCAAGTCCTCCAGTCTGTTCATTGTTTTTATTTTCCTTCCTCAGTTTCTCAAAAATCCAGTCAAGAAGAGTTCTGTCTGACTCCAGAATGCATCGAGGCAGGTGAGGGAAAGTAGCACACGCATTTGTTTGACTCAACGAAGAGATATTTTAGCTCTGATCAAATTATCTTGAGTTTAATGYTCAGTATTTGTTTTTGTTTATGTTTTTGTTTCTGCAGCTGGGTCTATTTTGAGCAAGATGGATCAATCTGTTGACCCCTGCCAGGACTTTTACACATTTGCTTGTGGAGGTTGGTTAAAGGAGAACCCGATTCCCGAAGATTCGTTTTCATATGGCATCTACCCATGGCTGCGACAGCACGTGGACTTAAAACTCAAAGGTGTGGTTGTTCAGCAATTCTCATTGGTATCGAGCATGGGGTGCATATATTCTGAACTGCGTTGACATCCTTTTTCCAAAATGTGGTGCAGCTGTAATAGCTGTACACACACAGCCGTTTTACTCATGTCATAAAATATTAACGAGGTATAGTAACCCTGAAAACTTAAACACAGCCTTTAGAAGATAGAAACTATAAAGGATTGCAGGGTTGTGCACAAATAAAATATTTTTTTTCTGCTACGGTGACTTGAATGACCTAAGATTGCCCAGCTTTATTGCTTGATGCCATGGAAYTGTCGGCAATCATGTCTGCGTCTGAATGTACTTTTTTCTCTGTGTTAGCAAAATATCTCATGACTCATTGGATGTATTTTAATAAACTTCTCAGAATGTGATGTACTTCTACAACACATTTGACTCAGCCTGAATCAAGAACCTCCCCACCGCAAAACAACCTTAGCAAACACAAAAAATGGCTATAAAGTATTCTTTTTCTCTTCTTTTTTTTTGTACTATTGTTGAACACGATTTGGTGTGGTAGTAGCTGAGAGTCCTCCCCATCACTTTAGCAAACTGCAGAAGAGTTATGTTTAAAGGAGGTCTATCAAAGGCCACTMTTTTAGTCATTAAATGCATTTTGTTGTGTACTTGGATTCTCTYGGAGTGCAGAAAATGTGATTTTAGTCTCTCGGATATCTTGGTGCTGCGTAGATATCTATTCTATTTGGGTCATAGTTTTTAACCTGTTCAGTTTTCTCTATATTGCATGACGTTTTTTGAGAAAGGATGTCAGTTTTTGTGACAGGACTGCTAKATAAGGTCTGGACTTACCAACTGCAAGTTTTCCATTGTTGACAGATTTTAATTAATTTYTATATAAAACGTTTATCTGCTGCTATATAGTCATAAACCCCTCTATCAAACAATAATGGACCACTCCGGAAYCTGGAAGGGGMCAGAGTGTGAAGTGCCTCGTTTGGATTTAAAGAGACAGATTCAAAACYAGTTGATATGAGACACTCCTCAGAAAAGAGGTGAAASGGGGGCTGGTAAAATTTAAATYAGGAATTCAGACCAAAGCATCACAATTCCACTTTATWTAGACCCCAAATGAATGATTTCAATGTGAAAAAAGGATTTAAAAYCATGACATGTCTCCTTTAAAACCTTGTCATGGAAGACACCAGGATTTTTTTTTATGTTGCCTTCATTTTGATCAAATTCAAAATGGCAAGAAAAGGTTTAAATGGGTGTAATGCAGACACACATCAACATTTGTCATTTACTAAAATATTACACACTCCAATATAAGAAAAATGTARGTATTAAACCCTTATGTTGTAGTAAATAAAATAAAAATATTGATGCTATTATTAATCACATTTTTTCACCTGTCAGAGTTATTAGAAGCACCTGTGGATGCTGATGAACTACAGGCTGTCACCAAAGCTAAGACCCTGTACCGCTCCTGTATGAATGAAAGTAAGTCACACACATGCACCCAGCTTTATAATGTTGACAGCTTTGATCTGTTCCCAACGATCCCTATACTAAATACTCAGACTAAGCCAAACCTGAACAAAATTTAATGCAGAGATTAAACCTGTTACCATCTGTTTATGAAATACATCTTACAAAGGAAACCTGTCGCAACCTGGTGCACACAAGCAGACAATAGCTGCATAAATCAGGTTAAAAGGAACTATTGATTCTCATCGCAGACCTTGGCATTTCCCATATAAGTGAGATATATGTGGTGAATAAAAGAGAAGGGAACTCATCGTAAAGAAGATAAAGTGCAAATCGAGCATTAAGAAAATAAACCAGACACTTACTGTAAAATGTGACACGTTTGTGTGTGTGTGTGTGTGTGTGTGTGTGTGTGTGTGTGTGTGTGTGTGTGTGTGATTTTATTTTGTTTTTATTTATTCTTTTACCAAGCCATACTGGAGAAGCTGGATGCCAAACCCATGCTGAAAACACTGAAACAGCCCGAGTTCCACTGGCCTGTGGTGGGGGATGGGCGTGGCGGGGAGTATCAGTGGTCACAGAGTCAGTGGAGTCTTCTTAAGACCTTAGCGGAGATGAGAAACCAGCACAGTAAGAGCGTCCTGATCCGCCTGTATGTCTCCCCTGACGACAAAAACTCCTCACACTACATCATCAAGGTCAGGGGTTTGCCTGTTTTATTGTTTTGAAAGCCTTGATTCATGTAGCCTTTTTAATAAACTGACTTTGAAAACACAATCTTTCAAAACTTCTAATATACCAGAATGTAATCTGTCTAAGATAAGAAGCTATTCAGAAACTTGTGATGTAGGAAAATAAGAAGGATTTTAATGTAGCACATAAATATGCAAAGAAACTGCTGTCCAGGTCACTGAAATTACTTGAAACTAAAAAAAAACTAATAAAAACAATGGTTCAATATAATTATATTAAAATACGTGCTAATGACATTGGTAAATAAAGGAAAAAAATAGAATTTATATCAAAATTACCTGTATGAAGTCCACTTTAGAATTTTATTTATTTTATCAAATTTTATTAATTTCATTAAAAACAAAACAATATTTACAACAGAAGAAAAAAATATGTACAAATCAAATAAAATGCAGCCGAAAGAAGAGAAAAAAATGTCTAAAATATTGTTTTGTTCTGGGCGATTTTTGGGGGTTTATGCGTGTGTATTTGGGTTACTGTCCGGTTGGAGAACCTATGACCCGTGACTGAGACCAATTTCTGATACCGAGCAACGTATTTTGCTCCAGAATGCCTCAGTAGTCTTGAAATTTCACTATACCATGCACAGTTTCAAAACACCCTGCGTCTGATGCAGCAAAGCAGCTCCAGAATAACCGAGCCTCCTCCATGTTTCATTTTCGGTACTTTGTATATGCTTTGTTTTTGGGTCTGTGAACATAGAGCTGATTTTACTTGTCCAAATTATCTGCCCAAAGAACATTATCCTAAAAGCTTTGTGGCTTGTTAGTATGCATTTTAACAAAATATATATTTTTTCATGATTAGCTTTGAACAGTAGTGTCCTTGTCCGAWTTATCCACTTTTACTCAAACATTGACAGACCAATGGAGAGATCTAACACTGATATACTTTGACCTAAAAGCTCACTTTTAGTCTCTTCAGCGGTTGTTCTGGGGTCTTTGGTTATAATTTGTATTTTTTTCAATTTGTCATCAATTTTATTGTTGTGGCCACATACAAGGAGGGCCTGTGGACCCTTAATTTTTGACTAGTTTGTGTAGTGTTGTACATCATGATTAACAAAACAGAATTGTGATTACTTTTCACTCTTTAAAATGGAAACGGACTGATTACATATTAATAGTCATTGAAGACAATGAATGTAACGCTCATTACTAAACACACCATAAGTTAAACATGTCCCTATAATCAAAGTATGTTCAGTTTTTCTATGGGTATCACCTTTTTGTCAAGGCCAGTTCTGTTATTATGTTTTAAAATCAATGACTGATTCTCATTACTTGATTTTCAGTCATTTTGTTTTTCTTATTTATTTATCGTTATATAAGTCTCGTTGAGATCTCAGCTCTCTTTTTCAAGGGTGGCCTGGGCCTGAAGGCAACCTATTGTACATGTTTTTGGTGGTGGGGGAAACCGGAGTACCTGGAGAAAACCCACACAAGCATGAGGGGAACATMCAAACTCAGCACAGAAAGACACCAGGTCCGAACCGAAGATCGAAACCAGGACCTGCTGCTGTGAGGCGTCGGTGCTYACCACTGAGCCGTTGTGCTGCCATAATCATTTTATTGTTACTTTTACAGTTTAAAGTTATTTCAGTGACTATGGTGGTTTTTTCTTTAACAAAAGAGGGGAAAACAATTATTTGTGTCTGCTTTCATTGCTGCACCAAAAGTAACAAGATAAAAAGGTTTTGAATGTGCAAGTAGTAAATAAACTTTTTTTGTGTCTGTTTGTCTGTTTGTTTCTGTAGCTCGACCAGGCATCCTTGTCTTTGCCTTCCAGGGAAGACTACACCACCAACACTTCCTCTGCGATTGCCGTGAGTTTCTGCCTGATCTTTTATCTTTTCTGGATCCAATAAAATGTGCAATTCTGCTGCTGCTTTTTTGTTTCTTGCCCAAATCATAGCTCCCAGAAACAAAACTAAACTGCCAAAAAAAATAAATAAATAAACAACTCTTAAACACAGAAAATATCACCAATTACACAGAGAACAAGAGTTTTATTCATACTCAGTATTTTCACAGATACAAACAAAGTTGGAATGTGATCGTGAGGTAAAATAGATTTGTTTAAATACTCATATTTCTGACACCCCGCCCCCTTTCTCTCCAGAATCGTGCTGCCCTGCTCAGTCTGATGGTGGACATGGCCGTCATGCTGGGGGCCTCAGAGAAAGCAGCACAGGCTCAAATGGAAAAGGCTCTTGATTTTGAGACCAAAGTGGCTCATGTAAGGATTAAGTTGAATAAATTTGATCCTGGCTAATGTATGGATATAATTTATAAATGCGTCTATGGCTCATAAGCTAATTCAGTGTTTTTCAAACCTGGTCCTCAAGGCACACTGCCCTGCATGTTTTACAGCAGTGGTGTCCAAAGTCGGTCCTCAAGGGCTGGTGTCCTGCATGTTTTAGGTGTTGCTTTGGTTCAACACAGCTGAACCTAAGGAGTGCTTAATTAGTAGGTCTTCTCAGTGTGCCATCAAGGTCTACAGAGGCCTACTAGCTGTGTTGAACTAGAGCAGCACCTAAACCATGCATGACATCGGTCCTTGAGGACCAACTTTGGACACCACTGTTTCAGTGGTTTCCCTAGTTTAACACACCTGGTTCAGATGATTGCAGTTCAACAAAAGCCTGTTAATCAGTCATCAATTGAAATCAGCTGTGTTGAAGCTGGAACACATCTAAAACACGCAGGGCAGTGCGCCWTGAGGACCAGGGTTGAAAAACACTGAGCTAATTAATAGAAATATTTACTGTGAAGTAGAATTTTGATRATTTCTTTGGCAACATAAAAAAATTTTTGTTTGCATTAGTCATGTTGATGGCATTGCTTGTTGTGTTTACAGATCATGATTCCTTATGAAAACCGCACCAGTGAGACCATGTACAACAGATACACACTCTCTCGACTGCAGAGCTCCTTGCCTCAGGTACTTAAAATACCAGCACATCTGCCAATAAAACACTAAATGGCCAGAAGGAAACAAAAATCATTAATGCAAACATCAGCTTGCCTACCTTCCGACACACCCTTTCCTCACATTGTTTACAGTCACACAGAACCGCATATCTGTTCTGTTTTTATCCACAACTAAATGAAGACGAGCATTAAACGATAAATAATAGGTAAAAACTTTTTCAACATTAAGATGTGTATAAATAGTACATCATTTTCCTTATTTTTATTTTGAACAGAGTAATTTTCTTCATTGCAACTTTTTATATTCAAGTGACATATTATATTTAAATAATTTAGGTTTAAAAGAACCAAACAAATATATCATTATTTTTTTACTTCAACTATTTAGAATGTAGCTTTTGGAAGCAGCAACTCTCCAAGGTTTCTTATTTCCTTTTGCTTTGGTGAAACATATGTTTGCATATATTGCTGTAAGCAGTTTCTTTGTTTCCATAAAATCCAGAGCTCATCAGTTTATCTTGCTGTAATAATAAAAATTTGACACATTAAGAGGTTAGTTGTGATTCTGCTAGGGGAAAACATGTCTCTTATTTTATTTGAATAAGAAGCACTGTATTTTAAAAATCAGTCTAACAGGCATTTTTTAGGATCAAAAGTTCTGTAGAAAGTCCCCCCCACTCACAAAAAAAAAAAAATCAAACAAAACTTTCTCTGATTTGAGTTTATTTCCAGATTTTAAATGTAAAACAAACTCCTACTTATCTCCCTTTTCTTGCCTGCAGTTTGACTGGCTCAGTTTTGTGAAAGCTGTGGTGGAGTCTACCGACGATCCAGATCGGGTCATTTCCTCATCTGAGCCCATTATTGTCAGAACTCCGAAGTACTTCAAGGACCTCATGAAACTCATCGACATCACAGACCCCAGGTATTGCCATACTGATAGGACTTCAGTGATTAAACAATAATTTCTAGTCATGTTACTTCAACAACTGATCTGTATTACAAATATTTATATACAGTGAGGAAAAAAAGCATTTGAAAACCCTGCGAATTTGCAAATTCTCCCACTTAGAACTCAAAGAGGGGTCTGATCTATCTATCTATCTATCTATCTATCTATCTATCTATCTATCTATCTATCTATCTATCTATCTATCT